GTGCTTCCGAGCTTTTCAGTTCACGCTTCATTTGCTATATACACGACGAATATCCACATCTCTCTGTCAACAGTGCAGCTTATCGCACAGCGTATAAAAACGCTTCACAAGGAACCTGAGCTGCCACATTTCGTAACCTTCCAATCACACAGCTTCTCCCCCTACCCTGATTCAGATTGCCACTCAGTCCATGGATGACATGAAATTGTACCTGTTCGTGCATGGATTGCGGTCACGGAAGTCTGGATCACCATATCTATGAAGAAAATAAGTGTAGGGACTGTGCAACTCCTTGAAACAGTTTTGAGCTGTCAACTAAGGTTTTTTTTATTCTTTTCCAGCTCTATCGGTAAAATGATTAGTGAACCAAACTTTGAAATTATTTCAGTTTCCTAATAACAGCATTCCGCAATCGATTCAAATGTGTAGGGCTAGTCAGTGAAAAGGAGAAACTCGAAGATTTAGTGAGTCGACCCTGGGTCCAAAGTGAATCTGTTAGGCTTATTGACGGACCGCGCACGGATCCGCCTCACAAGTGTGCTCGTAACGTCCAAGCCGAATCTATTCAGGATCGGATGACTAACAGCCGTCGTTCGATCGACCAATCGCAGTGTCAAGAACGCGATCCGATTGGTGCGTCGCTCTCGTACGCCCAATTTACCCACTTATATTTGCGTATCTCGTCATGATCGAAGAATACATTCCGACCGTACGATTGTTTGGGTCTAGGCCATAGGCGCTTGTATCGATCTTACGTCTAACCAAGAACATAACTAACAGGATGAGAAGTGGTTGTAGGTAGTACGACCATGACTGTTGTGTCTCGCCAAGCCATCTGCGAACTTGGTCCCGCGATGCGTATCCCGACGGTTCTAGTTAAAAGACACTTGCAAACAGCGCAAGTCTACTGATAGTGCCCGCCAAACATGGACTGAAAAAAAGAGAAATTCGCGGTAGACATGGGGTTGATCACGGTCTGTAGTCGTTTTTTTGTTATCGGGGTTACGAGGGTGCACAAATCAGGTTCTTCAACCTGAATACCACGACCCTCGAGAAAACACCGATCAACTCGCGGTGGCAGCTTATTCCAATCCATTTCAACTTCAAATCACGGGAAGGTCAGGTTTCCCCTGACACTAACTAACTGCGTTATCATCATTTTATTGAGAGATAACTGCCCACCCCAACCCTGGGATATTCGAAAGAGGCGTTTGGTTTTCATTCCCATGAACTATTCAACGCAAATGACCTATGGCGAACTGACAAATCTTCCTATTTTTCAGCTTTTATACGACAGTTTAGTGCTGTGGGTTAAGTCGGCTCTATCGGGTTTGAGCCAGCTCCATGCGACTGCATCTAACCGCGGTGTGGTGACCTACGTGACTCAAGACCCAGCGGACTATATGCGATGGNTAAACACAAGAAAGTGATCAAAAGCCCTGCTTGATGAACCTTGAAGTGGAATATTTGGGATATCCCGCTGTGTATGCTAGGCCTTCGAACTTCTCACAGCCGCCGCCCGTTGAACAATATACGATCTCGCCCACGTACTCCCTATGGCCCATTGACTGCATGAGGCCAACGGCGACCGAAACCTTGAAAGGCAGGTCTGCAAAAGCTCCCAAGTAGGTATTTCGGTCAGCACATCGTGTTAGATTTATGCCCTTCGCTCCTGAGATCACGGTTGGTTTGGTACATCGTGAAGTCCGCTGTGTCTTGATGTTCCAGGTATTGTTTCTCCCATTCTCAATACAAAGAGCCATCTCGTATTTTCACCGCTCAGGTTATATCACTCTTACATA